TAAATCTACGTTCACCTTGTAATACCGTGAATAAAGTTTTGGAATTCAAACAACATGTAACTAGCGGTCTTGTCCAAATTCCACATGTCCTATTTATAAGGCACCCGTATTCACCGAGTCTCCGTACGATAGTGGTCTCCGACAATAAATTTAGATTAAGCATAAACGCCAGCTAATCAGATAACTATGAACATTGGCAACTGAATTTAATACCAGAATGGTTAGTAAGTAACTATGTGGTTCTGAATGCAAACATTGCCGACGGACACTGTGATCTGGCATTTGTCAGGTATAATGAACACTGATCTTGTGAGTCATGTGTGCAAGGGAGTGATGACGAAAATGCAAGAAAGACATAGCGAAGCAAAATTACTAACCTAATGCTCATTTGCCGATTACTTATTTTCTTGAAATGTGTGCACCATGTTTGGATAGGTTTAACCTCTTGGATCTTATCAAGCTTCCTTTAGCAATACATGACAAGGTCCTTCATTCTGTTTAGAATCATAATGTAAATTGACCAATCGGAAAGGCACCATTGATAAGTAACAGTAAACGTTGTCCCAAATGAGTTCTCAACTGTGAAAAATTAACAACGGCATTCACTGAAGTTTAGGATATTTCTTGTTCGTTATAGTCAGAACATTATCCTATCTCCATTTTGTGTGATGAACGCACAACACGGAAAGCGCAGTGGTAAACAGATTAATAAACAGAAATTTCCTAGTCTCTGTTAATTAAACGATTACTGCACATGAATCAAGGCATAATTTTAAAGTGTGCCATGCGCTGGTGACCTGTGCTCGAAATACTTCAATTTTCCTGATTTACTACAACCCATAGATGAAATACGAACTGGCACATATCGACAGCTGTTCCACCCAGACAATCTGATATCTGGTAAGGAGGATGCGGCCAACAACTACGCTCGCGGGCACTACACTGTGGGCAAAGACATTGTGGACACAGTGCTTGAGCATATTCGAAAATCGGCTGATCATTGTCAAGGGTTACAAGGATTTCTCATTTTCCATTCATTTGGTGGAGGCACTGGGTCGGGGTTTACATCACTCCTAATGGAGCGGCTCAGCGTAGACTATGGAAAGAAGACCAAAATGGAATTTTGTATCTATCCAGCACCGCAGATCTCTACAGCAGTCGTAGAACCATATAATGCGTTGATGAATACGCATGTGACATTAGAGCACTCAGACTGCACGTTCATCGTGGACAATGAAGCTATCTACGATATCTGCCGGTTAGTATTTTATATGTTTAGGTGTCTCTTTTGAAGAAGATGTGAGAAACTTTCTACAATCACGTTTTACAGTTTTTATCACTTTGATCGCTGACAGTCATAGAAGTCTAGGTTGTAAGTTCATATATATATAATTAAAAAAACCTGACGAAGCATTGGCCGTTTCTCAGTAAGCTGTACATCATTATAATTCTGGTTCGACAATTTGATATACTCTTCTGTATTCTCGGATGATTACTACGAACGCATAGAATAAATTGGAATTTAAAGACAGAATCTCAACAAGCTAATTAGTGTGTGTTCGAATTAAGCTAACACGGCTGCCTAAGCTTGCATGCCAACTCGTTAGAGCAATTGACAAATAAACACAAATTCAGTTCGTATTTAAATTACAGAACACTGAAGTAGGTTATTCACTATGTGCACTTTCACATATTTCTGCTAGAAAAATGAACATATGTTTGACTACCTAAGCTGGACGGTTTTCAAAGCTGTTGACTTTGAGAACATCGTGTAAATAATCGGTAATTACATTTAAATGCAAAAACTGACCTTCAGTTTCATGTGCAGAAGCTGCTGAATGAGAAGTGAAAAGCTACAAAATATTCTCGAGTGCATTCTCAGTTTGTCACTGTCTGTCAGTCCGATTGTGATATAGAGTGGCAGCCGGGCAGGCAGCATGCCAAAAACACATACGCTAAGTATGGCCGGCGCGGCTTACGAGGGATGGAAGAAACCGCAACGTATGTACCGCGTGTTAGAAACAGCCGTCCACTGGAAATTCGAATAGACGTGTAGAGTGACAAGTAGGCAAATATAGTGACAACATCCCTTATGACTTCAACTTTCCGTAAAGGATGGAAACCAGGCGATGATCCATCTTTCACATAATATAAAAGTTTTTACGTGTACTCGAAATAATCGTTAGACAGCGTGCATACGCATTGGTAAACATACCGCAAATTGGTTTTGTATGTTGTAAGAGACTGTCACTCCGACATCTTTTTACAGTAGAATGGAAATTCAAACTCTACTGTAGTCCATTGCATGCTTGACATCCAGCACGGGATAAACGTCCAGTGTCTTGAAATTCGCTGAGGTACCATTCATTAGGCGTACTAGGCCATTTATCCTTTTCAAAACTGTGATTTTATATAGTGACTGCTCGGTGTGTAAGTGACACTCCCTAGATTAAATACACTTTGGTAACCTAACATGAAGTTGCACTGTTTATTTTGAGCCCGTGTGATGACGGTTCAGTATATCATCTGCGTTCCATCTTTGTTTTGTTTAACTTCTTTAAAATCAGTCCACGTATGCCTTTGTTTTTCAGATGCAACGGATCTTCTAACAAAAGTTACTTCAGAAGAGATCCATCCGCGAAAAATCTGGACTTCGGCTGGATTCGAACCAGCGAGAGAAACACCATGCCCAAACACCGCAAGCGCTCTACCAACTGAGCTACGAAGCCACAAAATCTGGACTTCGGCTGGTAGAGCGCTTGCCGCGTTTGGGCCTAGTGTTTCTGTCGCTGGTTCGAATCCAGCTGAAGTCCAAATTTTTCGCAAATGGATCTCTTCTAAATTATCAAATCTACCAAACTACTTATCAAAAAGTTACTTCGTTAACAGAGCCCGCTTCATTCTTTAGAAGTACTTCCCTATGGGGGAATTAGGGCATCTAATAAGTAACACTACCTTACGATATCCGTAGAAAACTGCCTTAGTGGTACTCACTCCGAAGACACTAATATCTGCTGGACATACATCTCACTGGCTATTCAGGAAGCAGGTACTATAGCATGCGGCATAGGGGTACATATGTGTGACAAACATTGGATTTCAGAGAAATCTCTGGAGTTGTTAGAAGCCAGAAGGAAGATTCCTCCTGGCAGTTCACATAATAAGTCTAGAACAGATATCTGTAGGAAGCTGAAACGTAGTCTAAAGGCTGATCGTGAGGCTTGGTTAGTGGAAAAGGTTAAGGAAATGGAGATCGCCTTTGCCTCAGGGAACACCGGCAAACTCTTTAAGCTGATCCGTGCCACTGGCCCCAAGCGACCGTCTGTCAGTGAAGC